CTGGCAATAGGCATAGAAGGGGGACATCTGGGTTCAGGAGAGGGACATCCTGGGAAACGCTGCAGCTTCAAAATAACACCCACAGACAGCAATGACGCCTCTTTGGCCCAAAGCACGGCCAGCAAACACTCAATGAAAAAAAATAATGCAGAAGTATCCTGGGGCACAGTCTTTACTCAGAGGAAAGGAGCCGCCATGCCAGACAGGACCTTAGCACCACTGCTAATTCTGTGCAGAAACTGCTTGGACACGACAGTAGCAACGGGAGAAGCCTTGCAGCAAGCGGGTAAATCAGTGACAGAATGTGAGCAGCACTGACAAGATAGCTGCTGCAGGAACCACAGCTCTCAATCCCCTGACTTTGGAAAATATGCATCTCAGTCAGAAAAATACATGCAGTAATTTCCTTTCCTTTAAACATACACAAACAAACAAACAAAAAAAAGGAAGACAAAAGCTTCTCATTCAGAGGAGCCAGCCAGCGCACTTTGCATTACTCTAACGTGCTTCCTCATGTTCAGGGTTACCCCTGAGCAAATTGCAGGCGGCTTTCATTAATTTCTAAGTGCAGGTTTCCACCAAGGCAATGTTCATGGATCCAGCCAGAGAGCTACAGTATCATAAGGACAATAAATAAACTGTGGAGTCACATCAGCCTGAACTGTTCTTATGGCATATATTACAAATACATCCCATCTCTTGAGCATGTACTTTGACTACCACAGCATCTATGTGAGGTAAAAAGTGGTAACATTTTATTTCTAAGGCAGATGAAGATTTATTGCAGGCGGTTGGAAGGAGGAGCTCCATGGGATTTTTCCGAAGCGCCTGTATATTCATTTGTAGGCACCAGCTGTCATGTAGACATGCTGTGGCTCTCTTTGGGCCACCAAGCTCATGGGGGGATCCCAGGGGAAAGCTGAGAGCCAACCTGGGGTTTCTGCTTCCACCGCTCAGCCGTTTTCTCTCCGTTTGTGCCTTTGGCTTTCAAGCAGTTTCAGAGCTTTTCACTGGCCGGTTCAGAGGCACGTTTTGCTGCTCTTTCCATGTTTGTCTGTCCTCTGTGAGCTGCAGGTGAATCTGCTTTGGGAGCGATGCAGATGCAAAACTTGGCTTACTGCCTTTTGGCAGCACATACCCCATTATGTTGCTTCTTAGCATAAAAAAGTGCTCAGGCTCCCTCAACCCAACCACCAGAATACTTCTCCTTTGGTCCCAGATGTTTCTGTCAGAAAGGTCCCATCCTAGCAGGAGGATGGAAACCAGCCCCCCAGCCCACACCGAGACCCTGCTTTCCTGCCTCAGCTGCAGTAAGGAGAGTGGAAAACTGCAGAGGTACCTCTCCCTCAGCTGTCCTCCTGATCTTTTTGGTCACGTCTCTCCTCACACCTTACGTACTTTACCTACATTGTAAAGCCTCAATGACACCCGCTTAAAAGATCTGTAGGTTAAAAAAACCAAACAGAAGTGTTATGTTTTTCTTTTTTAAACAAAAGATGACACCTGTGTGCACATCTCCGCTTGGGGATGGGACAAGAGAACAAACACGCGGCAGATGTTAGTCGTGCTGATCAGTGGATGCAGAGAGCTACAGGGAAGTGGTGGCACCACGCCGAGCTTCACGGCTTCCACAGGCAAGGCGGCCCAGGGCAGGCTGCGAGCACCACCCAGCACGGCTGGATGCACGTATGGGCTGCGGATAGCTGGGCAGGAAGGAAAGGCAATAAATATCTCGCTCCTGCATTTGGGAGGAAGCCAGATGAAGGATTCCTGCCATGAGAGTGAAACGCTTTCCACTCTAACAGTAACTCAGGAAGATGTTAAACAACAGTTGCATACGGCAAATGTTAAAAACTCAGCAGTCTGGCTATCCAGCATCTCAAAATTTAAAAAAAAAAAAAAGAAATCTGTTTTAAAAAACGCAAATGATTAATGCTGACATTCAGTAAGACAAAGAAGCCTGGAGAAGTTCCAGAAGCTAATATTATGCCAGCATTTTAAAAAAGTAAACAGGATGGCCTTGTAAACAGGTGTGTCTATTCGACAGTCATCCCATGCAAAATAATGACCAAAAAATATGCGATCGTATTGATAAAGACTTAAAGCAGAGAAATACAAATACCAATCATTAGGGATTACAGACAATAAACCTGTCAAACTAACATGATCGTTTTTGTGGCACTGTATACTCTTAAATATCGGCGAGCGAGCTGGCTGCTACGGCAGCGTGTGCGATCAAGGAACAAGAGTGCTGGGGACCTGGCCAAGTGGAAGGCAGCATAGGAGATGCTCCCCCAGGAGTTGGCACCGAGGATGTGTTTCTAGCAGGGAGTGCTAAATAGTGTAAAGCTGGTGACCTGGAAGGAAACTAAGTCATGACGGGTAAAGCATGCTGTCCCGGGAGCTGCGGGCACATCAGCGATCTGCAGCCCTTGGGATCCCTGGGGCAGCGGGGCCACATGGCCAAAGGTGACCATGCTCTGCATTAGAGCCTGACTGGTATCGAGGGGGGCCTTGGGGGGCCAGAAGAAACCAGTGCCCATGCTTTCCATCACACTCCCGCACCCAAGCTGGGGCCCAGACAGCCTGGCAGCACCTGCTGTGCCGGGGCTGAACCTCCTCCCTGCTGAAATTATCCTGCTAGGAAGAGACAAGTTCAAAAAAGAATTGGACAAGGCAGCAAAAAAACCCCCGAGGGCTCAGCATGGCAGCACATCCCCTGCTTGCGGGGAGAGTGTGCTTCCCTGATCGCCTGCTTGGTCCCTGCCACAGTGGGGCACAGACCGAGCCTTTGCCCTGACCGGGCTGGGCTTTTATTGTGACACAGTGCACCAGGAATGGTGAATCCCTGTTGGACTTGTAAGCCACGGTGACAAGCAGTGGACCATGAATTTCCACCGTGACTATACGGGTAAAAGGCCTGTTCCTGTTCCCTGTTTAAACATTCAAGCACTGGCAGTGACTGGATAAGAGGTTAAAGTTGCTCTGCATTTGAAATTCCCATTCCCACAACTAGAATAGCTCGTCCTAGTCTAGTGTCCCAAAGGACACAGATGCATAAGAAGATTTGGATGTGAGCCAAGAAGTGGAAAATGGAAAATATGCCTTAAAGCAAAAGGGACTTTCATCGGTTCAGTTTATTGTAAGAAAGAATCAGGAAAGCTTGATCATCATATCCGACTCCTCTCTTTGGGACTTAACTACTCAGGGACTCACTCCCTGGCTGAGAAGATCCAACGACTTGAAGGGAATAAAAGAAACGCAGCCTCAATATAAGGGGCAATAATAAAATTAACCTTTAGAACAACATACCAGCCACTATAGCAGACGTATCAGTTCAAGATCAACTGTTTTCCTAACAACAGTGCTCTAATTTACACAAGAACTGATTCAGGGCAGCCTGTGTCATGCAGGAAGTTACGCTGGCGAGCCCAGCCGGCCTCCCCAGCTCTATAATCTACGGAAAAAAAAAACCCTGCCTGTATTTCCCTTCTTCCCGTCCAACTGTGTGAAAGGTCTGGCCTGCCCCACTGGAGGCGTTTTCGGGAGAGGCAGGTTAGCGCGTGCTCCTGGCCACAGCACTCCTGCACTGGGATGTTTTAGCTTTATAAGGAAGCCAGTCGTGGGGGACAAAGTGAAGCAGTATCCCGGAGCTGAACCTCCATGGATGACGAGTGCCAGGGATCTGACACACGTTCCTCTGACAGTTTTCTGCCTTCCTTCTCAACTAAAGCAGGGACATGAGGTAGAGCAGGGAAGAGCCATCCTCATGGTGCTCAGCCCATCACAGGCCACGGCCCTGCAGGCTCCGACTCCCCTGCCATCGGGCTCCAGGCATCGCACAAAACCCCCACACCGGAGCCAGCAGCGTGCCCCTGCCTTCACACCAGCTCTCCACTGCTGTCAGTGGCTCCTGAGAGAGCCAGGAGTTCCGCGTTCATTAGGAGCAAAAAGGTGATCCCATCAGCCTGGCTGGGCTGGTGCCATTGCAGACACATCGCTGGGCTCACTGGTAATAGAGCAGCTTTGCTTATCGTATAAGCTGCTTGTGCTTCCAGCTCAACTGTCTACTTCCCAGGTTAGTACTTTTCGAGGGCCTGCACATCGAAATAGGTCAGTAAGTGCCCTAGTCACAGCTTTGTGGAAGGTTTTGTTTTGGGAGAACAGCCCACAGCCTCCACAAATAAGCTGGATCTGATTAGCTCAGAGGCAAGCAGTGCAGGAGCAGCTGCAGGCTGTATCTGCTGAGTGGAGATTTCCTCACCCGTAAGATTGCTGACAGATGCTATTGAGTAAAATACAGTGCTGGCTTTCACCACAAGTCAAAAGGGAAGTCCAGGCAAGAGCAGCAACAGGCACGATGGTTGTCTTTAGGATGGTGCTGTATGTACTGACACGCTCTGTGGGCATGTGTCCCCACCCTTTATTCTCAGAGGAATCCTTCATTAGGCAGATTATATGTTACAGCTCAAGGGCAGAAAGTAGAACAGGGATGGCTTCACGATGCTCAGTTCCAAAGAGAAATGGGCCAGACCTCACAGCCTGGCCAATTCAAAAGTGCCACCATCCTGAGCAGATTGAAATACCTCTCTGAAGTGACGAATTAATCCTGAAGTCGCTAAAAGACTTTACAGGAAACACAGAAGCAGAGAACTATGGAAATGAAATCAGATCCAGCTGGGATTTGCAGCAGCATCAGAATACAAAAGCTCTGTGCTTCTGTTCCTGAAATGCTGCCTTCTTGCTGTGGGCCTTGTAATAGTCTTTCCTAGTATTTTGCTTTCTGGGGAATAGTCATAATGGGTTTACAATGAACAAAATGTTTACTGCTTATGTTTGTACCCTGCTGACTCACTTTATAGCAGCTCTTTACACATAAGCCTGTAGCTCCAACACTCAGCCTCCAACATGTTCTGTGCATTTTAGACTGGAGCTGCTCTGTAGCCTTACCCAAAGGGAAATGAGAGTTCTTATGACCCGAGAGACAGACACCAGTGTCTCACAGTGTGCGTAACAAGGTCTTTATTCAACAAGAGGGAGTAAAGAAAGAAGTAAACAAGCAGAAACAAGGAAGACAGTGCTCTGTGCACCTCTTCGGGTTCTGTATCAGGAAAGGGTAGGTGTCCTCCAGGCCAGATGTGAAGATGGGATCAATACCAGAAGCAAAGTCCTCTGCTCTGACTGAACAGAGGAGTACTTGTGTCCAGGAGACATGGCCACCAGCAGCTCCACACAAGCCATCCAGCACTAAAGAAAACCCAGGGAAGGGCCTCATAACCCATGTCTCCCTGGATATGGTGTGTGGATATGTGAAGGGACTTGGAAGTCCTAGAAGGAATCCAGATGTGGTGGCTGCAGCAGGAACAATGCTGGTAACTGCCGATCCTTGGGTCTGGTTCATCTCAGCTCATCTCTGATATGGATGCATTGAGGCAGATTTGATGTTTGTTTTTATGCCACTTGGCATTTTTCCTGGAGAGAGGAAAAAGAAAAAGCAATGCAAAATCAGCTATATGAGAGGACATTTGCTCAGGAGCATGCAAGACTCACAGCAACCCTTCCTGGGCTTTTCCTGTTCCACTCCAGGTACCAGACTAGGCTTACCTGCTAAAGCATCGTCCAGCTTCTGACCTAACACAATCAATCTCTCCTACAAATTGGCATTTTTCTGTTGAGGAATCTCCTTGACAGTTCCTACGTCCCCCAGCTATCCCCCCAAATTCCATCCTTGTTCCATTTTAAACAAGCCTGTCTCTTTGTCAGGATGCTCCTACAGGAGTGTGGGACTTGGTTTAGTCTCACAGAAGTTCCTGGCAGCAGCACTCTCAGAAGTACCAGGACTGATCTCCACTTCCACTTCAGAAAGGCAAATACAAGAGCATCTATCCTCTTCCAGGTAGAATTATTTATAGTCAGGGCGTATTTTTAAATTACTAAGCCTCTCTCAGATCTCTTAATTTCTCTTAACCACATGCACCTCTTGGGCATTATTACTCTTTGCTGATACCAATCATACATGGGAGTGTGATCAAAGACATTGTACTAGCAGCTTACAATAAGTGTACAGTGCTAGACAAAACTAAAATCATGAGAAAAATAAACAAAAAGACAGTGATTAAAGAGCAGCACAGAGGAATGTTCAAAGAACACTCCCTCAGAAAGTGGAATGTGTGTTCAAATTGGAACAGAAAAAAAGGACAACTTCTGACAACTGAAACTGTAGTGCAGCAGGATAAGAAAAGATTTGATGAGCAAATGGCTAAAAGAATAAAGATAATTAAACTTTCTCAAACATATCCAAAGCAGGTCATTGCCTGCAATGGATTGGCAGGCAATCTGACATCACTTTAGTGCTAAGGAAGAGTGAACAGGACTGTATGGTTCACCCACATCTGGAATACTGTGAGCGGTTCTGGTGTTCCCAGTCTTGAAAACAAACAGAAAAGGTGCAGGTAAGAGTGACAAGGGTGGTCCAAGATATATTATAATTTTCACACAGAAGACATATTAAACAGAATAGGACTCGGCCGGGGGAAAAAAAAAAAAGATGGACAAAGGGAGGAGGACATGACCGACAGTTGGTGTCTGGTCACAGGTGGTGTCCCCCAGGGCTCGGTACTGGGGCCAGTTCTCTTTAATATCTTTATCAATGATCTGGACGAGGGGATCAAATGCACCCTCAGTAAGTTCACAGATGACACTAAGCTAGGCGGGCGTGTTGATCTGCTTGAGGGTAGGATGGCTCTGCAGAGGGATCTGGACAGGCTGGACCGATGGGCCGAGGCCAATGGTATGAGGTTCAACAAGGCCAAGTGCCGGGTCCTGCACATGGGTCACAACAACTGCATGCAGTGCTACAGGATTGGGGTGGAGTGGCTGGATAGCTGCCTGGCAAAAAAGGACCTGGGGGTGTTGGTGGATGGCCGGCTGAATATGAGCCAGCAGTGTGCCCAGATGGCCAAGATGGCCAAGGGCATCCTGGCCTGTATCAGGAATGGTGTGGTGAGCAGGACTAGGGAAGTGATCATCCCCCTGTACTCAGCACTGGTGAGGCCCCACCTCGAGTACTGTGTTCAGTTTTGGGCCCCTCACTACAAGAAGGACATTGAGATGTTGGAGTGTGTCCAGAGAAGGGCTACAAAGCTGGTGAGGGGTCTGAAGGACAAGACTTATGAGGAATGACTGAGGGAACTGGGGTTGTTTAGCCTGGAGAAGAGAAGGCTGAGGGGAGACCTTATCACCCTCTACAACTACCTGAAAGGAGGTTGTAGAGAGGTGGGGGCTGACCTGTTCTCCCTGGTGACAAGTGATAGGACGAGAGGAAATGGGTTCAAGTTATGTCAGACGAGGTTTAGATTAGATAATAGGAAAAAAAATTTCACTGAAAGGATTATTAAACGTTGGAATAGGCTCCCCAGGGAGGTGGTGGATTCGCCATCCCTGGAGGTGTTTAAAAAAAGGGTAGATATGGTAACTGGGGACATGGTTTTGTCAGGGTAGGTTAATGGTCTGACTTGATGATCTTAAAGGTCCCTTCCAACCTCAGCAATTCTATGATTCTATGACTTCCAAAGGATGAAAATTATTATGGAGAAAGTAACTGAGGAAAGATTATTCACTGTTTCTCACAACATAGGTAAAAAGGAAACATGCAATAAAATTTTCAGGCAAAAGATGTAAACATAAAAAGGAATTTTTTTTTAAGCAAAGCATGCAATAAAGCTATAGGCGTTGCCATAGGCATTGTAGAAGTCAAAATTGTAATTCAAAAAGGAACTGCAGAAATTGATGGCTGCTATACCCATTGGTCTCAAACCAAACTTTGGCTTAAAATCCCTAAACAACTGCTGTCAGGACATACTTTGTTCTTATATTCTTTCAGCCTTGGCTATGGGCACTGTCAAAACCCGAACAGTGGGACTGACCTTTGGCAAAACACAGTATAGCTGCTCTTAGCAAAAGGGAACTTCCCGGTAACACAGGCTGGACAAGTGCTCTTGTTACCAGCGCATTCTGCTTGACGTACAGAAGCGACTGTCTTCCCATCCTGGAGACAGTGTTTGTGGGTATGCAGCCAGAAATCACAGGGGCCTTCTTTGTTTCCAAATCACAGTGGAAATTACTTTCTAACTCTTACATAAATATATTATTAACTTAGGATTAATATTGTTGCTCAAGTTCATTTCTGAACAACAGTCATTATACAGGCAAGAAAACACCAATTAGGATATCCGATATCCAAAATCTCAATTAACATGAACATAAGAATGACAGTACAGGGTTAGGCCTGTAGGTACCCCATGCCAAACCCATTCCTGACAGTAGAGGACATTTAAGGAAGAATACCAGAACAGTGATACCTCTGCAGAATACCGCCTCAGCTTCTAACATATTGTGGCTCAGGGACTTGGAGTCAGACATTCATGATTAGCTGTTGACTGATTTTTCATCCAGAAATTTACCTACTTACTTACATTTCCATCTCACATAAACTTTATCTACCTACCACACATTTGGCAATGTGCTCTACGGTGTAATTATTTAGTATTCAGAAAATTATCTCCCTTTTGTTCTGAATCTACAAGCCAGTATTTTCATTGGTGCACTTTCATTGATCTTTCTGTATCATTGGAAACAGTGAACAATCATTCTCCATTCACCTGCTATATACAATTTGGGATTTTATAGGCTTCCGTACTTTCTTCTCCCTACCCTAAAGCTATCCCCAGTAGCAGAGAAGAGATCAGAACTGCACATAATATTGCAGGTGTGGGTGCTCAATGGATTTATACAATGGTCTAATGATATCCTCTGTTTTTCTGTTCCCCTTCTAGTAATTCCTAACATTTGATTTGCATTTTTGCCCCAACTGAACATCCAATTAATGTCTTTACAGAACTGTTATATCATGTATCTATTTCCCAAATACAAGTAACCAGGTTAGAGTCCAGGTGCTGGACATGTAAAGTCAGATTGCTATGCCTATGTTTTCCACTTCATATATTTAATACAAACATAATCTACTATTATTAAGTGAAGTCACTTGGTATATGAAATCCTTCTGTCACTCTTTACAGGCAGCTTTTGGCTTTTTTCTTACCTTAAGTAACTAATTATCATCAAACTTTTCCACTTTACTGCCTACCCACAACTTAAATTTGACAGCAAACCCCCCAGCATAGATCCCTACAAAAGTACGCTGTGACCTCCCTCCATATTGATTCCTATGTTCACTAAGTCTATTATTAAAATGGTATTGCAGTGTGAGTTAAGAAGCTGAATGGCTGGGATCCATTTCAACCTCTGAACCAATTTTAAGCAGGTATTACTCCACTGTTACAACCTGACTCATGTTATTAAGGTCAGAAAGGAACCTCTTACTCGGTTATATCTAAAAGGTGACTGAGTAAGAATCTCTACATCTGTGTTTACCTTTCTTGCTCCCTGCATTTCAATTGCTGTCAGATATGCAACTCATTTACCTGGCTGTCCTGCTTGTGCCATCTGCACTCCTGCCAGCATTGGCTGCTGCTGAGCTGGTGCACCTGACATTGGGACCTGCTGCATGCCTGAAGCACCTGCAATGATGGCAGCAGCTCCTGGTTGACCTGACTGGACAGATCCTCCAGAGCCAGGGGGTCTCCGGTTTGATAGTCCTTTCCCAAAGGCTACAGCTGCTACCAGTGCATTGGTATCTGCAGGGTTGAAAGTCTGCTTGTTCTGTCGTAAACCTGTAGAAAAAGAAGTGATTTTGGAGGATTTTAGCTATCAAGTCTAAAAAGTAGCATAGCTGGTCCTGAATTTACTTTTCTGCTATTTTGTGGCATGTAGTAGAGATCAGCTTCTAACAATCTGTCCTACAAGAGTTTAAGCAGGGTCAAAGAGGCTGCAAAATCCAAGGACAGTGGTGATCCAAGATCTTGTCCACTGAGAGCAGGGCATACGCTGCTTAGGGAACGATGATAGAGGGAGCCAACTCCTCCATGGGCGTGAGAATGTTCCCACTAAACGCTCTTCCATGCTGAATCCTATGGCAGGTAACAAGCACTGTGTTTTAGATAAACAATGGCAACACCCCCTTTTGGAGGCTCATGAGCAGCATGATGTCTGCAAGTTTTTCTACCACACTCTTGCCCAGTTTTACTATCAGTCTTGGAAACCAGACAGAACCCAAGCTTGGGTCCTTGCTTACACTATGTGTATGTCAAAGATGACAAAAAAAACTGTTGAGAGTTGTGCATAGCACTCCCAGAAATAGTGAACAGCTGATGGCAGAGACCAATAAAATAAGGATGTCCAGCATCAGAGTCAGAACCAGAAAAGGTTGACCATGAGTCTCAAGCAGCCATCATCTAGAGGACGTCACAGAAAAGCCTGCCAAAAACCATGTTGTAGACTCTGGCTGAACATAGCCATGGAATTTCCATTCACTGCCAGTGCATTTACACAGCTATTTTTCTTAATCCAAGTTGATTGTGATGTTTTCTTGGTAAATACCACCTCCTCAAAGGGGGATATGGCAAAGGGTTGGAATGACTTTCCTGCCATGCATAGGTCACACAAACAGGACACATCGCACCCACAAGACCCCTTTTCAAATTAGGGGGCTCCAGGACAGCCCATCCTGCATCTTCTGGAATGCTTTCGTCTATGCTGCTCATCTGCATTTCTCATGCTCCAGGCTCTGATTTACCTGTTTTGCCACTGCTCTCTCAAGCCTGCTGCTTGGACCCTGTATCCCATTTTCACCTCAGTGACATACCTCCGCTTTCAGATTCACGCTCCTCCTTACTGATTTTCTCCAGCAGATTTGAGCACATTTTGTTCAGACTTTGGATCTGTTTCTGCGCAAAATGAAAAACATCAGAAACCACCAGGATACTTCCAACTCGGTACAAGTCAGCAAGGTCTCGCCCAGGGTCTATGTAACCAAACATAAGCCTTTTGGTAGCAGAGCCTACAAAGCCCAGTGCTAATGCAAGCAGAAGGGCACTATGGGGATAGGATAGCCTTCACCTTTCTCTGACTGGTCTGATGGCACCTCCTGTGAACAGCTAGCAGGCTGAATACCCTGGATTTGTGAAATTGTGGAGGAAACCAAGCCTCAGCTAGGGTCAGTTGGAGAAATCTCAGACAGAAAAGGACATAGCAAAATGAAAACCGTCAGATGGAAGGGTGAAGGAAGCCGAGTTAAAGGGCATCTTGTGCCTTACGACTAAGCGGCAGAAGAATCAAACTCTTCTTCACCTACCTGTGCCACATCAGGGCTAATTCGAGCTGCATCTGTGATGAGCTGCTTCTCCTGCTCCTCCACCTCAGGGTCAGGCTTAGTTCGAAGATGGTCAGGCACTACCTCATGGCTGAACACGGGCACGCGCCCCTCTGTCTGCCGCTGCAACAGTTGGATAAGCCACACTCAGAGCCTCCTCCTCCAGCCCAGCACTCAGACAGCTCAAGACCAGAGCTGGAACAAGACTAGTAGCATGCTGTGGGGACACCTTGATCTGGGGAGCATTAGAAAGTTTCAACAAATTGTCTAGGAATTTGCACTGTGCCTGTTTAGTCAGAGCAACCCATGGGGGCCTGCAGTGCAACCCCACCAGCACGGCCATGACCAGCTGAAACATTTTCTTACTCAAGCAGAGGAGTAAACATTACCAGCGCATTCTGGAGGTTCTGTAACACACCCCATGTTGGTCAGATGACAAACAGTGCAAATCTAGATGCAGATGTCTGACAGGAACGGCACAGCTATGGCACAGAAAACCAGAAGCTCGCAAGGAGACCTCCCAGTTACACAAGACACTATCTTTCAGGCCCATCATCATGAAAATAATATATTTATGAACAGGAATACCTCCTATAAAGTGTAGCCAGTGTAAGTGATGCAGGTGAGAGCCCCCTCAGCAAAGCAGCTCCCAGGAAGAACTACTCATCACCTTTTCTTTCTCTACACCCAGAGCTGAAGAATGCCAAGCACAAGGAATGCCAAGCTGGAGCAGATACACAAGCACTTTCTGATATGCCACGGTCAACACTTAGAGGGAATTTCCTTACCATGATCTCCTCATCACGGTCTGGAGACAGCACTAGGGGTATGATAACCTGGTTTCGTAGTAGTGGGGTCTTCTCATGCTTTAGCACTTTATTCAAGGTGTTCAGCTGCCCTGAGAGCAATGCAAAGCTGTCCAGAACTGAAGGCCTGGGAAAGCAAATAAAGAGGACAGAATATGGAAAGGGATGCCACAGATGGCTTTTATCGCTTCTTCACTCAAATGGCTGAGAAGTGAGGAAATAACACTATTACTCCTCAAATCAGTCTACTCCAGACAGTAAGCAGTAAAACATAGGGCTCAACATGCAGATGTAGACAAATCCCAGTCCCTACTGCAAATAGCTCAAATGCTGCAAACAGCTCAGGGACGTTTCAAGCAGCACCACTGAAAATGGCAGTTGTTTGGGATTTCAGTAACATACACAGAAGCAATGCTTTCCTTATCACTAACTCTCCCAGTGCAATTCTAAAGCAAGGTCTGAGAAACAATTTAACCCCTAAGCAGTACATCCAGGAGAGACAATATTTATAGCTTTGCTATCCAGACTAAGCAATAATGAAGCAAAGTAATTGATAATCTTGTCAAGGAGGTTCCCTTCAGCTTGCTCTCTCTGGGGAATTCATCACCTCTCCTGCCTTCTGCAACATTAACTATAAATGATAACTGCCTGTGAAGCTTTGCTGCAGTGGCAGACACGGTCTAAGATACCGTATAGTTTATTAAGCTGTAGCTATAACTTCTTTATGCACCATCAGGAAGAAAATGCCACCTTGTGAGTCTCTCAAGCTGTCTGGTAAAACATGCCGAACTAGCAAAACACAGGAGCTCAGTTTATACCAGAGCCAGAAAAAGCCAGAAAGGTCAAGAAATGCAGAAAGAACCACTGCTCATCGTATAGTGTATATGAGTCTCTAAGGTATTTTGTCCAAGAAGCTTCCAGTCACTGCAGATGCAAGTCTAGTTCTCATAATGAGTCTAGATTAAAAGGTATTAACATGACTCCATTACTATACAGCATGAAACCAATGGATTTCAACTGGTTTTCTGGTGGAAGACATGTAGTGGTTCCTCCAGCAGAAACGTGAAAAGCAAATTTAAACCTACTGACAACAGGCTAATGGTTTTTAATTATACTTTGTGGTCCTTTGAGCTGTGTCTGGAACAGCTTCAGCAGTGATCACAGTGCCCCCAGCTCTGAGAGACACCTTACCATGTAAGTCGGTCATACTCATTCTCCAGCTTGTAGATAAAACTGACCAAGGAGTTCTTCAGGTCAGCCACCTGACTGATGAGCGCCTCCAGGGTCAGCTCCAGCTGCTTCTCCTCTCTCTAAAAAAAAGGCAAGAAAGACAAGGGATGAGGACAAAGCTTAACACCTTCCCATGGCCGTGTGGATCCACATGCTTACATCCACAGTCCAATCTCTCCTACAGAGAGCCTCCTTTACACGGGAAGCAGAGACTCTGGAGATTAAAATCCTATGGTTTCACACTGACTCCTTCCCCTTGGGCCAGCACACTTAGGCAAGAGACTTGTGCCTGAGAAAACCCTTGGCTAGCTATCCTCTTGAAGATTTAGATGGGTGCAGTGAAGACATTATCACTTACATCTGCTTTTTACCACATCAGGCAAAGTCATCAAATTTAGCTCATGCCACCTTTGTGAGCCATTTAAGCCAACCCAGCTCAAAGTAGATTAGTATTCCCTCAACCTTTTCTGACAGTAGATGTGGGCACAGTGATGTCTTAATCCAAAACAGCCCTTTGCAAAATGAGTATCAGGTCCATGGCCAAAAGTTTCTGCCCTTCACTTCATTCTTTACTTTCTTCCTGCACAAGTGCCACTTCCAGCTGCTAAGGAAACTGGCAGCTCCTATTCTACTTGTGCCTTACCAGTTGTGGGAGACCCTGCCCTGACAGAAACCGGACATACCGACACACGCACACATCACCTCCTGCCTTTTGCTCTGGATTACATTATTTAAATAACCTTTTCCACCGACATCCCCCGGTGAGGGAGGATGGTGACAGACAAAGTGTCAGGACAGGGGCTCTATTGCCAAAGACACTGAAGCATATCCTTGACTCTTGCAAAAACCCTCTAGAATCTTATCAACTCTAACTTATTCATACTACAGCATTGCGCAAAATATAATTATAGTCCCAGCCCTAATGAACTGCTCATATAAGTCAAGAACTGTACAATAATAATCCATGAGGAGGGTGGGAC